CAGAGTTTCAAATTTTAACCAATAAAAAAACTTTAACCATAAAAATTTGACTTTTATTTTTAATCTCTTAGATTAATGTATACATATGTATAAATAATATAAAAATTTTGTATTAATAAATTCCTACATTCGTCGGTTCTTTAACTGAATAATTTTACGAGAAAGATTAGAGAATACAAGAGAATGTAAATGAGTAAAATTATTGTAACAGTGAGGAAAGGAAAACTGAAGGTATATACATACAGGGTGAATCTTATTTCCTGTCCCAGCCTTTTACTCTACAGTTTGGGTCGGTAATCCATCTCTCATGGTGAAAGGCTGGGATAGGAAATAAACCAACCCGGGTGAAAATAGAAAAACACTCGTAATATATGTCTGAATCATGTAATATCTAATATCTAATTGTATCTTGAGAGACGTAATTAGATATTACATTATTAAAATATATATATAACGAGATTTTTCCATTTTTTCCAGAGTTGGCTACAATTGCAGTCGGCAATCCATCTCTCGTGGTAAAAGGCTGGGGCAGGAAATAAGATTCACCCGGTATAAGCTGTAAATGAATTTTTCTCTCGTATCATAGTAGATAAAATTGTCTATTGTCAAAAACATTCGGACGAAAGAAAGCAAGTTCGCCGGCACACAACTGTGTGACCCATCAATGTTTACCAATTTATCGTGACTCTATAAACCGAGATTTTGTTAAGAATAACGAATATTAAAATCGTTAAGGTCGAAAACAAATTGTCAGAAGTTAGTTTAGGTTTAGTGTGTGAAGAGCAAGGAAGTCGGACGTCGGGCGAGAAGAACATACGTTGATCGACGAACATCGAATCTGTGGAAGAAAAACGATTGAAAGATATATGCTTATACTATACTGAAATTAACAGAAGGAAGGCTCATAGGAATCCGACTAAGTATGACCAGAGCTTTTATTCGCGAAATTAGTAGTGTGCGTTTGCCATCAAAAATGCAATACAGCGCAAGATCGATACAAAATAATCCGATGGAGTATAAAACAGAGAATAAACCGCAATACGCGCGGCCGACCGAGGATATTCCTGGTCCAAAAGCACTACCTTTGATTGGCAACCGGTTTAGATTCATGCCTTTTATAGGTAAGAGTTTATTTTATTGATGCATTATAAGATAATAAAATCTTCATTGCTATAATCGTTGCTATTCAAGTTAAAATTTACATCAAAAATCTGAAATTGGTTGTCCTTTGCATAACAAATCTACACAAATAAATGTCAGAACCACCTGCAATAGGTGATGAACACATTCGAGTTAGTTTGAACGCTTAGAGTTTTTGTATTATATGTCGTTACTTAAGGCATGGAAATGTTTTGTCCTGATACATTAAAATAAAAACTAAGTACGTTTATACATTTATATTTACCTATATTTTATAGCAGGCCTGTTACACGATTTTTAACTTTCCTAAAATTTTTCCAATATCGAATTCATTATTTTTCATGGAAGATTCAACATAATATAATCTTAGATTCGTTATCTTGTCATCTATGAAATGTAAATCGAGTATTTTTAAATATATATAATATATTTTAGTAATAATATCGCAATACACAACAATTAGAAAATACATATTTCTTCCTCTCTTGCTAAAATTTATCACGATACACAAAAATTAGAAATACATATTTCTTTCTCTCTTGCTAAAATGTATTGCAATACACAACAATCAGAAATATAATTGGCTATCAAGACAAACTGTAAAAAGAAAGAGTAAGAAATTTGGTACGCGCAAATGGTAAGGCACCAGCAACACTGCTGCTACGAAGCCTACCAGTGAGACAAGAACAACGCAATATAGCAAAACATGACTTAATTATTATTATTAAATATTATTTTCTCATCCCTTTGTGCTTCCCCGATTGCATTACACGAAACTCGATTATTGGCATAAACAATGCAGGTAAATACCATAATATAAATACCCTGACACTTATGCGGGTGCTGCGTGATAAATACGGCAATATCGTCAAACTTGACGGCATAGGAAAGGAACAATCGATGATCTACCTATTCTGTCCAGAGTTATGCAAAGATATGTATCAGTTGCAAGGTAAATGGCCGACGCGAAACTCCCTGGAACCTTTGCATTGCTATCGCCAGTCCAGAGAACACATCTATAACGGACAGTACGGTCTCGTAACAAGGTCAGATAGTCATTGGAAAAGATGTAGTCAAGCGCGTCGTATTCTCTCTTAATATTTAAGTTTAATATTCTTTTCTCTTTTATCTCTTTCATCTCCTGATCATTAATGAAATTGCACGTCAGCTTGCGAATTAACATTGACATATTTCTTTCTCTCTTGTTAAAAGCGACTTTTTTGCTTTTAGCCAGGGAGAGTTGTGGAGCAATTTTCGATCAAAAGTCGCTCCGCACATGATACGACCGGAAATAGTCAAAATATACTCCACATACATCGACGAGATAACTAGCGATCTCGTAGAGAACATGCGAATGGTGCGGGATCCTGAAACCCTGGAGTTGCCACATGATTTCATAAACGAATTATACAAATGGAGCTTAGAATGTAAGTTTCTGAGTATATGTGAGCGAATCGCAAGACACTCGTACATCACCGACAATATTTTATAATTCTCCTCGAATGTGGAGCACGAGAAATTGGACTTTCGTATCATAGATGATAACTGATAATTTGCGTATAATTAACAGCGATGTGCTCGATCGCATTGAACTGCCGACTGGGGTGCTTAAAATCCGATCTTACCATGGACTCGGAACCGCAGATAATGATTAATTCTGTACGGGAAGTCTTCGATCTCATTTATCTTTTGGAAAATACACCATCTGTATTCCAGCAAATTAATACGCGGAATCTCGAAAGGCTATTCTGTATTTTAGATACGATTAACGAGTAAGTATCGAAATTTATATTCGTCATACTATGCTAGAAAGCAAATCGCTCGCAAAACTCGCGCTTTAGAAAACTATTCTTCATTATTCGTATTTCACGAGTGGTTGCAAACAGGTGTCAAAAATATTCCACATATATTGTTCTATATATACTTCAATTTCTTTATATTTTTTAAATGAAAGTCAATGTATATTTTATTTATACTGATATTTTTTTGTACCTTGTATAGTATAAGTTACCTTACATGTTGAAAATTTCTTCTAATCGGTATTGTATTCTTCTAGCGTTCTGTTTGTAATATAATTTATCTTATAATTTTTGTTCTTAGAATCTCCGAGAGATATGTCGAGGAAGCCACGATGAAGTGTATGGAGGCAACAAATAATACGAATCTAGACAATTATAGTAAATTGCAGAAATTCGTGCCGGAAACGAAATTTTTGGATAATACAAAACTAGAAAACCGTAGTATACTAGAGAAACTCTTACGTATCGATAAACAAATAGCCAATGTAATGGCTTTAGATATAATAATGAGCACTGATACGGTAAATAATGTGGATTTTAATTGAATGTTTATGAATAATAATCTTGATGGCTCGCGTTTTATCATATAATCACATTCTGCACATCCTTTATAAATAAAATTATTTTTCTTTTAGCAATTAATAAAATAATAATAGTGAATAGTTACAATTTTTTGACGGTTCTAAGCAATATGGGCGAGATAAAATGTGTTGCTTATATGTATATTCTCCTTTGGTTATATAAAATTAAGAAAAATCTTACAGCGGGATTAATAGAATTAAAAATAAATAATACTTTCTTACAGACTAGCAATGCAGCTGCCGCTTTGCTATATTGTATGGCAATTAATCGGGAAAAACAGGAAACATTACGAAAAGAAGTAATGTCTGTGTTACCTGACGAAGCAACCCCTGTTACATATGACATCCTGAACAAGATACCATATACTAAGAGTTGTATCAAAGAATCTTTGCGATTGTTTCCCATCACCAATGGCACTTTAAGAACTATGCAGAAAGACGTTTCCATAGGAGGATACATGATACCGAAAGGAGTACGAGTCACTTTTCTAATATTTTTCCATATTACAGAAAGATTTGCCAATATTTAATACCAATATTTTATTAATATTGATATCGATATATTTCTTGTCGAGATATTTAAAAAATTAAAGGTAAATTTTAAAACCATATAATTTAAAAGTCTATTACAGTAATGTTACTTTATAGTAAAACGTTATTTTGAACATAATGTTTAACATATTAAATTAAAAAACATATTAAAACTTTGCTCTAGATAAAAGTTTTATTAAAATCTATTTTCAATTAGCTGTCGAATACATTAGTAAAATTTCGGGAAGGCTTTCTCGATAGCTTAGCCTACTGTGTTCATATCTATTTCTTACCGGAAATGATTCTCTATTATTCACACTTTAGAGTTTAGCCCGTAAACTAATCTCTCAATTTTAATTGTTCATAATTCTCTTTTTCACAAAACATTGTAATTAAAATTTCATTGGATGTACGTTGTGAAATAATGAAATAAAAGCTGCGTTCGACATTGCGGAGTAATCTTCCTCTCTTTCTATCTCGTTTTTCTTCTCTCGTTCACTCCAACGTAAAAGAGACGTTTCAGACTTGCAATGCCAAGCGCAGCTAATATCATATTCTCAACGACTCTTTCCTACATATGTTACCAGGCAGACGTTATAGCTTGTCACGCGTTGCTCTCGATGGATCCCGCCTATTTTTCGCAACCGAACAGTTTTATTCCCGAGAGATGGATACGGGGCACTTCCGAATATTCGTCATACAAACAATCGCATCCCTATGCGTATATGCCTTTCGGTTTCGGTGTTCGCACTTGTATTGGACGTAAATTCGCCGAGATGAAGCTCAAGATAGTACTCTTAAAAGTTTGTAAACTTTTGTTGCTTTATAATTTTTAATACTTTTATAATTTTATAATTTTTAACATCAAATAACATCTTAATAATCATCTCAAAGGACTAAAAATCTCGCAAATTTCTGTTGACACTGTTTCTCTCAATAATATAAAGAATTCGAAACTATATTTTTATATGTACAACACAATTTAAAGAATATAAATAGGCAAATATTCAAGTTTTCCATTTTAACAAAATTAAGTTTTCTATACAATTTAATGATAAATCTTTCCCAATGGGAATAATGAGCAGCAAAATCAATTAATTTAAGTCAATCCTTAATTTTTAAGGTAATCTTCATGCGACAAAACCGCGAGAATTTGCTCTTCAAGTTATTTTCATATTTTCGTCATTATAAACTGCAGACGGACGTAACATATAAAAGTGCATTTTATGTATAGGTAATACGAAATTTCCGGATTGAATGGCACTATGGACCGCTCGAATACAAAAGCCAGGTTACAAACACGGTGACATCACCGCTGCGACTGAAACTTTCCAATTTGTAGACTAACAATAAGTATTTCCAATCTTTCTATAATTCGTCGTCTCACAGAATTTGTCAGGATCTCATAAAGATTAGTAACGCGAGTTTTTTTACACTATAATTATGTACAATTGTAATATTTCATATTTTTATACTCGTTTGTAAGTTTTGTCGAGATTTAGATGTCAGTTATACATTGAAGATGATTGATTTTATTAATGAAATACTCATCACGATAATAAAATTAAGAAGATTGTAATTAATAATGTAAAACTATAATATAATAATTGGCTTTTTGTATTAGTAA